TTTTCCATGACCATTTTGCATAAATGTGGCTGAATTTCGTTGATGCAGCGTTGAATCTCCTCCTTTAATGCACGGGTGGTTGTGGGCTTGTTGACATAGACCTGTGATTTCAAATAACCCCATAAAAAGAAATCTAATGGTGTTAAATCACACGATCTAGGGGGCGATTTTGGCGATTAACAAAGCCATCAAGGTGAAAATGTGCTTCATCGCTTAGGATGATTTTGCTCGAAAAATCAGCATCCATTTGTTGATGTTCAATAATCCATTTTCACGCTCCATTTTCACTAACCCTAAACTGTCAGCTGTTAAATTGTTTTTTTTTTGGGTTGCCAACACTTTACTGCACAAATGGCGGCAAATTCAAATCTTGCGTTAATTTTGGGACACCCTTTATATATATATCGCGAATGAAATATTCTAGAGACTTTGTATATATGTACGAAGTTACAATCAAAAAAACTTCGTACATATATACAAAGTCTCTAAAATATTTCATTCGCGACATTCTGAAATATTTCAAATATAATGTTGTCACAGAAACTATAATAATAATAATAATAAAACCCAACGTACCATTTTGGAAAGAGGTTGCCAGAATATTTTATATGAAACATTTAGAAAGAAATCGAAAACGAAACCTCTCCAAAATATTAAGGAAATATTGCTAATGTAATATTTCAAATAGAATGTCTCTAGAATGTTTTAAATGAAATATTCTATAAAAATCATATTTTAGACCATCATATTTAGACAAACTAAATCGTATTTAGACAAACATCTTAAAGAATCATATTTTATGAAATATTCTACATGCAATATCTCTAGATGTTTGCAGAAATATTTCAAATGAAATATAATTCTGTAAAAGACATTTGAAATATTTTTTCACAACATTCTGGTGGCATTTAATGCTGTGTGGGAAGTTGTAATAAAAAAAAAATATAATGGAAATATACAATAATATTAAACACATACAAATGAAGAATGCCGTATTCGGTCGAGGCGGATCTTCGTGTTCAATAATATTTCTTGTAAATTTATAAAATTTTCTATACAAGCTAACTGTGCGATTATTTGTCGGTCTTAAAATACAGTTCTACACTGAAGCTGGAGTAGTAATATCGATTTGCAAGCAATTTAATATCATTGTGCTGCAAATAAGCATCTAATTGGAAAGTTGGCACTGATTTGATACTAAGAAATTAATTATATTGATTAGTCAATTATTAAAATAAATATGAAAATGTTCATGATACATATTAGTGGAAATAATTTGGAAATAACATGATTAAGATATCTTTTGCGGTGATTATATACTTGTTACTCTTATGAAAACATTGATACTACATGAGTGCAATCCCATGGGAAAACGCCAAGAAAAACAAAATTAACTTATTATATTTTTTATTTAAATATTTCTGCCATTGCAAAATGCGTATGCGCACTAATTCTAGAATGTCCGTATGATGACTGACTAAAGTTGATTTGAAAGTCTTAAGCCCCTATCAGACTACCGACTCTGCAAATCGACATGACTACCAACTCTGATTACTGACCAATAATAGACCAATCACAATAAGACTGATTTAATCAGTCATCATTACCATATCATAAGTATGCACTAATAGCAGAAAGAAATCTGAGAGAGGACATGAGTATCATGACGGCCCAAAACTAGAAACTGCAAAATGCTGCCGCGCACTACCGCTCTCTGAAGAAGTGGATGTTAACTACACAACAAATATCCACTTTTTTTGCTGTGCTTCTGATGGAAATAAATCGCTGAAGTCATTGAAATCTTTATTAATTTAAGCCCGATTGCATCAACTTATACATTACTTTGACTCTTTCTCTCTCTCTCTCTCGCTCTCTCTCTCTCTCTCTCTCTCTCTCTCTCTCTCTTTCGCTTTAAAACGAGACGGAGAGAATTTTAAGTCTTGCTTAAAGTCAAAGTAACATTGGTACAACCGGGTTTCAATAGATTTTAGTTATTTTAGCGATTCAACTATCTATTTTCATCAGGAGCATCGCAAAAAAGTGGATATTGTGTGTGCATCCACTTCTTCAGAGGGCGATAGTGCGCGGCACATTTTGCGATTACAGGTTTTGGTAAGGTATTATAATATGAGTATTCGCATCTGCCATTTTTAGTCCTTTTCTCACTCTCTTCCTCTCTCTCTCTTCACTCCGCCGCTAAACTAAGATTGAAGAGAGAAGAGAGAACAAAGAGTGGGGAAAGGATTAAAAATGGCGGATGCGAATACCTATATTATAGTGCTCTAGTTTTGGGCCGTCATGTCCTCTCTTAGGTCTCTCTTTGCTATGTATCACTACAAAAAAGTTCGTTCCCTCGCCGTTCAATGAACCTTTCATATTTGTGCATGATCGCTGTTGTCGCTCGCTTCCTTGGCCAGAATCGCCGTCAATTCATCGGCGAGCCCGGCGTGCGCCCTTTACTCCGAAAAAGAAGAAGAAGAAGCCGCCGCCGTTCGTTTCCACGTTCCGAAACCGTTTAAAAAGATTTATTTGTGGCGACATGTCCGTCGCACGATGCGCTCAGTTATTTCTTTCGAAGGTACCCATCATTTGAATAGCGATCATGTAACTTTTTCTCTAGAGCGAAAATAGGAAAAGTGAACAATATTATATATGTGTAGGGGGGGAGTATGGGTGTGTGTGTGTGTGTGTACATGCGTCGCATGCATATACAAAGTTTTCACGTTTTCCTAGGAAAAAAGTTACCTTTACCGCACCGACCGTCGACATAATTTCTAAATGTCTTCTAATGTCTATTTCTAACGTATCTATTTTTATGTTTATTCAATGTAGATTAATTTGAATCTTAATTTATCTTTCTCTAATTGTTATAATATATTTCCTATAAAAGGAAAAGAAAAGAATGTATTAAACCGACAATTTCTGTTAATAGTTTGTAACTGTTATTGAAGCATTCACTCTATAATGTATATCTACATATATATTCTTACAAGTTTTATCCATCGAGAATGGTTTAATATAAACTGAAACGTTTGATACAATTTTAAGGGATCATAATTTTATTATTAGTACGTTGAGTCAATACTGAACTGACATCGTGCCTGGTTCATTGCACTGTATTCGTTAATTTTTTAGTATTAGACCGAGATTAAAGTCAATCTACAATGGTAGAAGTAGATATGGACCAGAATCATTCTCTTGAAGCCATGCATAATGCAATTCCATTAACAAGCACTTGTTTCAGAATTCGTTATTACTGAACCAGAGAATAACACATATACATAGGGATCTTGGTACCATCAGGCTATTATCCACAATTTCGAAAACACAGCCATCAATGCCTAGGGATGTCCACACAGTATCCGAGCACCGTACGTCTACAGTGGAAACTTTAGAACCAAAGATGGGATTTATTGCAAGAATACTGAAAAAAACTGGTATTCTAGACGTCCAGAAATATGTAATTAAAAGTTTTTCATCGCCATTCAACCTTGAGTGGTGAAATGAGAGCGTTTGTGAAGCTTGTTGTATCTTTACTTTTTATATCCATATGTTTAAAGTTATCAATGGTAATGTTAATGGAATATTATTACAGAGAAATATGGATATGGGTTATGAGATATACGAACATGTAATTGGTCAAGTGGATTATCCTTTCTTCTTTAAACGTAAGTTCTCTATTATAAGTGTTGTAATTCTAACTCTTGCATACATTTTAAACATGTTCTTTGTAGATTTTAACATGCCAGATACGTTTGTTGCTTGGTTTCTGGTGACAGAGCTTCATGTCTGGATGATAATGACTCGCTACATGGCAGATGAGAAAAATGGAAAAGCTATCAGGAATTATGCAGTAGCAGCAATGTGGCAGGACACACAAGCCAGGATAGAAAATCTCGGTGTAAGTAACATTGTGATTGTACTTTAATATACTATTTTATACACACACACACACACACACACACACACAGGATGTCCCATTTTAAATGATTACCTCAAATTACTCTTAAATGGTACATTTTAGACAAAAATGTTTCAGACAAAAGTTTTGTGACTTCGAGGGACATATAAGATAATATTATTGGTTTGACCTTAGGTGGCATTGTCAAAGTCAGAGCAAGATCACTTCGAATTTTTTTAATTAAACCTTCCATTTTTTATTACATTTCTTGTAGCTTATTGCGAGAGCTTTTCAAAACACTATAATAAAATATTTTTTTATTAAGTACTTCGCAAGTTATAAGGCTTGAAAGTTACAGTATCGTGAGCATTAGCATTACCCAAGTCCGACCGATGGCTGAAATCTCTTGAATGTTGTTCAAGATCACGACCTGGATAACATTTGTCAAAATCGGGACCATTGAAAGTTGTACCTTTTATTTTCATTTTTACGTACAAATAAATTTTTAGTGCAAAAATGAAAATAAGGACAACCTCCAATGACTTTGATCTCGACAAATGAACTTATAGTATTTTAGAAAGCTCTCGAGATAAGCTACAAGAATATGTAATAAAAAATGGGTGGTTCCATTTAAAAAATTTAAAGTAATCTTGCTCTCACCTTGACAACGCTACCCAAGGTCAAACTAATTGTACCATCTTGTGTATCCCTCTCGATGCATGCGTGCGTGCGTGCGCGCGCGCGCGCGCGTGTGTGTGTGTGTGTGTGTGTAGATATTATGGTTGGCATTATTTTATCTGCCCCCAAAAATTCCAGGAAGTTTTTTGTGTTTTATTGGGATTGTATAGAAAAAAATTAATTTTTTAATTAAAAACATATAAAAGGAATGTATTTATAAATATTTAATGAATATAGGTATACTAATAAACTAACCAGACTGATATAATTTTATTTTAATGCATATTTGGTTTTATAAGCCCTCTTTCCAAAAAATTTACTTAAAATTGAATCTAAATTACATTTAAACAGGGTTGAGTAAATTAACGTTTTTTTTTTAAACTAAATTAAGTTAAAGTTAATAGCTTATAAAATTAATAAAATTAAGTTAAAAGTTGA